GTCTCTACGTGACATACTTAGTGGAAACCTCATAGGAAGCGGTGAGTTTGCAAAGCTGTGTTCAAAGTGATTGAAATCTTAGTTTGGAGTTTCTTTGTTTGGTTATGGAGGCGTCTGGCCGAATAGATTGCTATCAACTTGACCTTTCCAGGATCTGAGGAAGGCGAAATCCGCCGAAACGTCAGCTTGATCGTGAACAAAGAATAATAACACTTCGCGTTTGCTCAACAAAAATACGAAGAAAATTACTGATTTGACTCATCTTAATCCATTGTATTCTTTCTTTGATGAGCTTACACGAGGCTGATAATGATGTTTATTTTCGGCTAACGTTTTGACGTTTTCGTCTTCCTCAAAGCCGATGATCCGAGTCAATGGTCCACGCTTGTTATTCGTCTCGACGTGGCAGCATCGCCTTCGTGCCGAGTCAGGTCTTCTTCAGTGAGCCATCTTCTCGAATGAGGCATCCTTACTCAGTGATGCCCTTTTATACACGATGCTGATAGTGGATATAATGATAATGTCCGGTGATAACAACTTGCTTTTCTTCCGGACATAATCATCAATTAATCCATTGTATTCTTAATAGGCAAACATGAAATCGTCCCCTAGCCTTTACTCATTTAAAAAGCTGATGTTCAAGAGGATATTGCCTTCTTCAGAGCCTGGATAGTCAAGAATATTGTAACCTACCCAGATAAACAACTGCATAACCAGAACAGGAAAAGCACGATACCAGGAAAGATTTCAATCACACTAAAAACAAATTAGCCTCATCGCACACTTACTGCTCTACTTGAATCTTCCACTGAGTACACCATGTAGAGGTAAACTGCACAAAGTTCAAATGGGTGAGTAATGTGCCTTTCTCATATTAAAATAACAGTCTTAAATATTGCTCGAGATCACACATCATAGCGAGGCCTTTCTTCCAGCGTGTCATTTTTGGATTTTTGGAATTTATCCAATCTTATTCTACCTGTCTTATCTTATCAATCTATAGAATAATAAAAGAAATATTACAAGTTAAATCTAAGTAGGTTCTTCCATCAGATAAATCATTGTTTGACCGGGTCTACGTCAGAAAACATGATATTGAATGTTATCATGGCAAAAAGGAAGTTTGGATGGTGAAGAACAACGATACCTTTATCGCGATTTTTTCCTCACTTTGCCGTTCAACCTTATGATCGATGCGGGTGTCGTGCTTCAGTAGCTCAGTGCTTCGCAGTTGTACTTGTTCTTGCTTAAAAGGAATGAAAACCTTTCCTATGTTCAGCTGTTATGTCTAATGATTGAGAAAATTTTGCTAGAAGACAAGGCAATGTTACATAACAGCTTGTCTAGTAGCTTCCATTCCATACACAATCTATTACTCCCTTCTCTATCTATAAACTAGCAGACGACTTAATCCTTTTACAAGCTACTAGCTAAGCAATGGATGTGTTATAAGCTTCATATAAAAATCTACTGTGCTCACCTTCCGTTGGAAGTGAATCCTTTTCAAACACGGCGATCGTGGTGTATCTGGCTGCTTCCGTTCGTCAACTTTCGACAAGGCAGCCGTTTTCTCGTGAGGACCGTCCTGAATATAGACAGAATAATGAGGAGACTCGCATTCATAATCGTTTGGGAGAAGACTTATTTGAGACCTCTTTAATAAGTGTTGGCTCGTTCTGTTGGCGCAGCGTCTCCGATCGGAATGACGCACGAGACAGCGGTCGTCGAATTAGTTCCGGTTCGTCCTCAGAATCGGAGAACGAGAGAACCTTTGAGTACTTTTAATTGCAATATTTCGCTTTTTTTCAAATTGTAGAAGTCCAGCAAATGTATGTGATTGTTTCAACGACTGATGTAGAAACTATTTTATTAAGTTATGTATTTGGTCCTTAACTTTTTACTTATGAGCAGAAAAATACGGTGTTTAATTTTTCAGATTTTTCAGTTTCCCGAATGCTCTTAAGTGCATAAAAACCGCTGCATTGAAAAAACCAACTTCAAATCTGCGTTAAGAACAGATTAATGATGATCACTAGCCGTAGAAGCACCGTTTGAGCATTGCGCTTGTTTGATCACTGAATCAACGAAGAGGAGTCGGCAAGTTGTTACTATGCTTGTCCGGAAGAAGCTCATTGAGATTCACAAAAGTTGTCTCTTGATACGTCTGAGAAAGCCTAAGTAATGTAACTGCAACCTTGCAGGAAAAATCTCTATCATCATCCAACAACGTTCATTTCGAAGGTAATGCCCTCAACTAGCAAATGAACACGCACACAAGTCCGAAGACCTTCGTGAATGACAGAAGACGAGAGAATGAATCGAATAGAAGACGCACTGAGGTTGTCACTGGATGAAAAATTTTGTAAATATATTTATCAACCTCGTGCAAGCATATCAAGAAAGAATGCATATTGATTAGTCACACCGAGGTTCAGGGAAAGTCGGTTTCGAAATATTACTACGCTTTGTGCTAGCTGATAAAACACCGACTTCTGCACGATGTCCGAAATGATGTATGTCCGGAAGAAATACAGGTTGTTACCACTGGACATTATCATTATATATCCACCATCAGCATCGTGTATAAAAGGGCATCACCGAGTGAGGATGCCTCATTCGAGAAGATGGATCACTGAGGAAGACCTGGCTCGACACGAAGGCGAAGCTGCAACGTCGAGACGAACAACAATCATGGACCATTGACTCGGATCATCGGCTCTGAGGAAGACGAAGACGTCGAAACGTTAGCCGAAAATAAATATATTTATCAACCTCGTGCAAGCTTATCAAGAAAGAATGCATACTGGATGAAAAGTTGGGTCGTCTATATAAATAGAGAACAGAAAAAGGTCGTCCATGTCGTCCATACGTGCTTTATTAATTTCTGCAATTGATATTTTCAAAACTGTAGCGGCACTCAAGACGCGACAGTTGTCTATAAAAATTAGAAGTGGTTTCAATTACATTCTTTCATATACATGTAATGGCGCGTTCAGCATAGTGGTTAATAGTGCCTTGCAATACACATTAGCCGTTAGCTCGACCACGCGCCCAGAGGTCACCAAACATTGCATTACTCTGCGATCGGTAAATTTGTGCCAGATTTGTCTAGAAATGTAGAGCACTGCCTCGATACATCTGTCCTCCCAGGGAAGACTGGTATCAATTTGCCTACCCCGGAGAGATGGATGGTTTGATGAGCTTAGGGGGCGGAGTAGAACCCATATATATTACAGAGCATCTCTAGCCGTACACTAAACACTTCCCTATATAGAAATCGTAGCGGTCTTAATTGGTAAGAATTCACAGTATAACACTTCTACATCCCATAAACACCACAAAATGTTATTAGGCGAATGTGTGTTTCTAGATCATATAATAGCATTCTCATTGATAATCGAACTCTTCATCTTGATGATTTTCATAGTGGAATCAGCCGTCATTTGGTGTAACAAATTTTTTCAGAACAATTGAATGCTTAACCCAAAAAACCCACAAGTTGCAGGTTTTCGCAAAGAATTCCATAAAATGTTGTACAAATTCTTCCTTGGTCTACTATTTCACAGCAAAATTCCGTTTGAAATAGAAATATAGATTAAATTGATCAATTAAATATAAGACTAAAATAGAAATAGTAGTTCATCTAGGAAAATCAGAAAGATTAAAGAAGTGCAAGGAAAGAAACAAAGGTACAAATTTTCCATGCTACCACTGTCTATTGGAAGAAAGGGAAAAAACGCTATGAAACTAACTTCGTCATTCTCGTTGATCACTCCCAGAAATCGTAGCGGTCGTTCTGGAAGAAGATCATCCCTTGTACCGCTGAGTGCCGGCGAATTCACTAGAAAATGGCAATTTTGGTTAAGTTTCAAAGAAAAAACTTCTATAGCGAAGACTAATATGTCACAAAAAAGAAATAAATTTTAAAGAGCTATACTATTTGTAATTTTTACCAATTCTCTTGGCGGTTTAAAAACAAGGGAAGGAGCCAGTTATCCATAAATCGGTGACTAAAATTGCGATATCCTTTTTATATTGTCCCTATGTAGACATATTACGGATAATGAAGTGGTACCATGCAAATAAAACACATTTCAGTGTAAAGAAACAACTTAAACGTTTGGTCCATCAAGAGTACAACTAAATTTTAACTAAAGTAGATTAAAAAACCATTTTTCGTAACGCCACTGCATTCTCAGGCTAATATTATAAACGTTATAATGCTAGGATTCCAGAGTATTTGTTCCCATGAAGTCGTCAAACCATCCTATGCTTTCACTGTCGACACCTCACCTCCCATTTCCTCGATTATCGGAGTTCGTTGTGATCCGTCGTCGTCCGAACACGTCGGTACCGGGCTATACAAATTGTTAGCGTTATGGTCGACCTGAATCGAAAACGCAAATTTCGAGCACTTTCTTCACTAGAGTCCAGAAAGATCAAAGCATCAAAGATATTTCCTAACCTGGTTAAAGAGGAAATATGTGGAAAATTACATTCTCTATATATCTCGGACTATGGCACAGTGGTCTCTTTACCTCTTCGTAAGGATCTGGATCACTTTTTAGAGAATAAAGTGCACAACGAACAAAAAGAAGTCAAAAGTGTTCCCACGATTCTGTTTTGTTTTCAACATTTTCGACGTTGTTATCTCACTTCATAAATTATGCAGCAGAAAATATCGACACTACTGCAAAGAGTAATGAAGCGCATACCGAACTTAGAATGGAAAACACATTGTCAGTACTGAATCCTGGAGGCGTCACCTCGACGGCATTGAGAATCAGGAATTCGATGAGTAATGGGATCTTCTTTCCGCTTTCTAATGGATCTGGTGGCTGAACTGAAAGTGCGAAAAAAATCGGAACTGGATCAAAATTCGCTAACGCATCGTATCGTCTCTCTTTCCCTACAACTGACTGCGCGCCATACCGTTTCAGTGCTGCGGTGTTGCGCCAAGTTCATGCGCCTCATAGACGACCACCGTATGCGACCTAGATGTAACACTATTTACCGGGTGCCGACGATCCGGACTCGAAAACCGATCGGATGATGATGAAGTCGTTATCAGGCAGTCGACGTAAACAATGTCTTTCTATCAATATCACCCAGGTGATCACGATAATCTGTGGCGTTACTTCAGAAACACCCATGGACAACATCCATAGAACATTCATTGCCATGATTTGAAATTAACTCAAAACGAACTAGCTTACTTTCACCAACAATCCTACTAAGTGTATCTCTTAATTGATGGTTGATGATTAGAACAGCAGATGTGATAATCAACTCATCTGATGGAAACCACACTTTGTTTAGAAAATAGTTTTCCGAAAGGAATGGTTTGGTGCCAAAATTTTCTACAAGTATGTCATTTCGGGTAAGTAAAATATTCCAATCATTCCTTATTGTCGAACATTAACTTATTACGTGATTGCAAGGTGAGTGAAATTGGTGAAGCAACACATTTTATCTTCCTTCTAAATGAAAATCCGGCAATCTTTGTTCGGCCACTTGAACGGTTCTCTAAAATTGAAAACAAAATAAACTATATAAAGTGTATTTCCTTATTACAAATATATTCGAGCATCTGTTTAGAGGAGGCAGGTGGCACTCACTGAACTTCGGGCCGGTTGAAAGCAGTGCAAAGTGCTAGGTCGAGCACTGCAATCGCATGTAACATCCTCTACCCTCAAAATTCCCAAAAGGCTTGCAGATAATATAGGACCTCATGTCCATTCTAGCACGATGTCAAATATCTATCTCTTATGAACGATCATCTTCCACTATTTGATTATGTGATCGTTAACAAAGACTCACATCATAGTAAGAAAGTTCGATCTATCGCAAAACACATAGCTTTCCGCTAACACATTTCTACCCGTTTTCAACTTCCAATCACTACCAACTTGATTGTGAAGCACCATCTTAGTTTTTGCCCCGATCAAACACATTATTGAAACTTGAGCTTGTTTTCTAATTTTCGTCCATAAAAGAGTCACCGTAATAATGATAGAGAGTAGATTGAAATAATGCTTAGCCTAATGTTTGAAAAAACAAACCTCAAGCGATATAGAAAGAATTGAATCTCTCTTTAAGTCTCCACTGCTAACCATATTAATTTCCAGCTATTTCTATAGAAAAGGCCAAAAGATGAAAACCTACCAGACGGATCAAGAAAACTTGGTGCTAAGCAGACAGATAGCGCCGAAGCACTCATCTTGGAACTGGGAGAACCGGCTATCATACTGAGTAGCTTGAGTAGATTTCTCAGAAGAATCCAGTGTGAAGTCGGAAGCAAACTAAGGAGATTACGACAAGCAGCGATCTGCAAAGAGTTCTGTCGTTTGCTATTCGTCAACACTTCTGTTGTGTGTACGAGCACTTAAACGATATGAAGACAACTATAATTAGTTATCCTTTGCGTCACCTTCAAAGACCACCCTCATCTAGGCACCTACCTATGCAAGTGAACTACATTTGCTTAGAGGAGAGGAGATCAGGAGCCTGCACTACTACAATTTCCTAACATTAGGGTTTTCTTTTGACTTAACACATCGGATTTTTTTCAGCGCACACATGACAACGTAAATTACTGACTTTATTCACTGAAATGAAAACCGTAAGATTCTATAGATCTTTGCCGACAAGGTACTATCTCTGCTTTCCTAACATGGTGGAATCATACCTGCCTGTAACCCATGAAGTCTGTTTTACCTCCTCAATTTTGTGTCAAGGCTCGAATTTCATTGGTACGTGCAACTTCCCAACATTCCTCGAAAGCTTGTGAGCTTTGAAAATTTTATTTGAGAAAGATACTTCTATGAAAATTATACTCACACATATTGTTATAGTTCAAGCTCTCTTCTTCAAGCCTGTGAAGTTCTCAACTCATCCATCCCTCTATTAATCGAAATTATAGTCTGTTATCAGAAAGCAGTCTTCGTTTCGTATATGTCAAATGATTCATAGGTGTGGAATAAAAGCGCATAGTCCTGTAACTCTAATGTAACAAACCTTTCTCTCATGATTCGGCTCATCCACAACTTCTCTGATCCATAAGTCATAATTGCCGCTTAGCAGAATCTTGCCCGGGATACTTCTTAGGTAGTCCTAAAAACAGAACTCTTGGAAGCACCATTAGGATCAAGAAGACATCACATGCGAAACCTATGTTCTGAAGAAAGTCCAGCTTTAATTTTAATGAATACTTGTTACTGTTAAATAAATTACTACTATTTCTTACTTACTATCATATGTTTTACTTTCATTTATTATTATTATTAGTACAAATTTCATTTAGGAAAAAGTTAGAAATTTTATTCAGGAAATTCTTTGAAACGGGCCAGCCAGCTTCTTAACCGAAGGTGATTCGGTCTTAAATATGTTCACTATCATCCTTTAAATAGTTCTCTGCCGAAGTTCTTTATTTCTTAATAGCTGGAGATTTTCAGAAACATCTAAACGCGATCTATAAATTGTAGCCTATTTAGCTCATAAGAAAGCTGGGCCAAATTGGCATAAGGTGTTCTTCAAAAGCAGTGGCCTTCTTAAGATTAAGATTACGAGGCAAGTTGATTTACAAAAACAAACAGATAGTAATACTACGAAAATAAAAATTATTAGATCGAAAAAAAAGCTATCAATCAAAAGTGGTTAAAGCACCGATTATTCAGTAAACATCAAATGAATGACTTCTCAACGAAAACATGCTGACTTTTAGAACAGAGGCCAGCACATGTGTACCGTATTTCTTATAATCGGGCACGAGGCCTCGTTCCATTTCTGATCGACACTCCATCATTGTGCTCTGCTTGGGCGATTTTCTAAACGTTTGTGAATCTAGCAATGGTAGGGCCTAGAATTAAAAATCTGCACAAAACGACAACTTAGCAAAAAACGCTTTGTTCTAGTAGAATCGCTGAATTACGACAGCAGTCTGTTTAAGACCATTGCAAAAGTTCTCTTGGAATTATCACTGGCGTAGTTTTCCATAAGGCAATGCAATTACTCTATCTATGTGAGAAACATCAACACCGTTGCTTTTTTTGCCTGTCTCTCAGCTAGTTCTATTGATCTTTTTGCCATCAGCAATCACCCGTGAACGGGATTGATCTGGGGAGCCCAAATCCGCATCGAACCCAGTTAAACTGAGGCTTAGTTATAATCACAATCTTAACCCTTTTATTTACTGCCTTTTTTTTAATGGTAGGGTTGTTGCGAAATATAACTCGTATATAAGGCTGAGATATTTGGAAAACTCCGGACCGCAGGTGTATGCGGTGGGGAACGAACGCGCGCTATTGTCCTTACCAGGGAGTAGCGCACTTCACCACCACACCATCTGGGTCCTTCGTTTTGCCTGTCTCTCAGCTGGTGGTGAAGTGTGTGTGTCTCTTAATCATTTTACTCTCTACTGTTGAGACAATATTTTCTCCCTTCAAACTGTGATTGGGAAAATAATGTGTTGTTTCGTATAAAAGAGAAAACCACACTAATCATACCAATCACTTCACCAGTCTCCTTAGATCATTCCCGCCGATGGATGACTGCTGAGAGTACCGAGGGAGTAAAAACATGGCCAAGAGAAAGGCAAAATAGAGGCCTCGGTCGGTGTGATGAACAGCACGAGAGCCCCCAGTATCGGTAATCGCGAGTTCGAAGCTCATATGAGGTCCTGAGTTTTGCTTATATCTCAACATTTCTATGGTTGTAATATCATCTTTGTTCAAAACATTTGGGATGTTCGAGGGCAGGGTTACGGGTGCTCTGCAGTACACATATGGTCGTTGGTTCGAGCATGCACTCAGGAAAAATCCATGCCTTCCATTCCTCTTGGAGTGGCAGATTAGCACTATATTTGTTTAAAAATATAGCAGCATTGCCTTGATACATTGACGAACAACCACAAATGATTATGTGGACAAAATATGTATTCAATCAACACTACGAGGCATCCCTATGGGAACGACGCCGAACGCTTTAGCCTCTATCTTCTATATCATTGATCATTGATGTTCTCTCAATGAACAAAATTAAGAATACAAATGCAATGATACTGAGATATTTGCAAAACTTGGACCCTAGGCCAAAGTGAACCGCGATTAGCACTTTCAGCGACTCATGTGCTACGAACGGCACCACTGAGGTCCTCGTTTGCCTTTCGCTCAGCCAGTCTTTTTTCCCTAACGCTGCCGTCAAAAATCACCCATCAACGGGAATGTTAAACAAAAACCACAAATAATAAAAGCAGTTTAAGATCGCTCTTTTATTTAGATATTCACTTCGAACTACCATAATGTGATTTGCCCACTTAACTATGGTAAAGACCTGTTTAGATTGCAGTGGATAAACCTTCGCTTATGGTAGAGAAACTAACAGAGGCTTGATTTTTTAATTCTCAAATGAAGTAGTAGATGAATCTCACCTGAATATGCCTTCCGTTTCGTAACCATATAAACGCAAATGATCGATGATGCTCATCACTGATTGTGGTGGTGTTGGACCATCTAGCTCACGTCCAAAAATCCCTCGAGGATCCGAGCGATGTAACACACGTCTCCTGTAGTTGCCTGATCTCATAAGATTTTCTGGTACACGAAGACGTCGAAACGTTAGCCAAATAAACATCTATATCAACCTCGTGTTAGCTTAACAATCTAAGAATACATTGATTTCTACTATCGAAGTTGAATGACACCCGGTTTGAAAAATATTATTTTGCTATTCTCCAAGTGATACCTAACTTTTTCTACTGATACGTCTTTCGGAACAAAATCGGTTTCGAACTTCTTTTTAATGCACTGACAAAGCAATGAATAAATGGGCCAGAAGTACAATTTAACATTCAGAATCATACAGAATACTTTCACCAAATCATTAAATTCACTGCAATTTTGGCAGAGAAAATATATCTCTAGATGACGTTGCCAAGAACTTCATTAAGATTTCTCAGCAGCCGAAGATGAACATTCATGATGAAATGAGGAAAGAACTAGGAAGAGCTCGGTAGAAGACAATGAGCAAAGTGCGATTTTAGAAGAGGTGACTGATCAGCTCACTTATTCTGACTTATGCATTATCTTCGAGCACATAGTTCTCCCAGTCCTGTGCTATGAAGAGGAAACTAGTGCTGATACCTCAGTGTTATTGAAAAAGGATGAGAAGAACAATACATAGCTCAGCCGAGCGACAATTTCTTAAGATGAACAGGCATATTCGGCACAAATCCGATTTTCGATCATAGGAAATTATTCCGTCTTCTGGAGCCGGTAGAATACGTTTTAAAAAATAAACATCAGTGGACCGGCCAAATTATGAGAGAAGAGCATGACAACTGAACGGAACGAAACCAACAGCGGACCCACATCTCCTGAGAATTTAAACGATTTCGGAGCAGACCACTAAGAAGATGGGGCGATGTGTTCGTCACACGCATAAACGAGCCATATTCATATCAACAACATGGATGACGCTTGCATGCCAACCAAACGAAGGAAAGAAATGAAGAGAGACCATCTATGTATTTATGAAGGTAAGCAACAAGCAGTCTGATAGTTCATTATCATTATTGCAGTATATGGTGACGGATAGTGGAGTGGCAATGTCGCCGTTCACCACGACCACTGTACTCGTTCGACTCCGTTCTAGTCTCACCAAGCCTCTCATCCATCCAAGGCAAAAAAATAGTACCAGACTTGTTTGAAAACAACTTACGCTCTGAAATCCGACTAAAAGAGCTTTATTCAGGTTATCCGAGAAATACAGATAGCACTTACTCCACCAGCATTCAAAGGAATTCATGAAAACGAAGAGAATCGTTAAGCAACAACAGAATCCACAAGCGAAAAGTTTGAAGGCTGGAGTGGATAGTGGATGCACGGAAACAAATCGAGTGAAAGAAGTACTGAGATACGCACAGCAGAAGTGGATAAAGTCGTGTAGAAAAAGTATTGCAAGTGTAGTTAAATTCGTTCACAAAAACATGAAATAACTGAAAGAAAAAGAATAAAATTACTAATAAGAAAAGATTAAAAAGAAAAGATAGCGGAAACCTCTGTGATACTATTCTGCTGAACAAAATAGTTTCGGCGACAGGGAAGAACTGAGCTAAGGAAACGAACTTGATGCTGTTGACGATCTGCATGGCAGAACTCTTCGACGATTTGATATTGGAGAGCATGAGTCGTGCGTTCGCTATCGGACAAGCATCCAACGACTGTCGTTGACTTTCCGACAACCTGCAATGAAGAAATCCTTGCAAACCACTTTTGGTAAGGAACAACGAGGAACAGTCAACCAATTTAATAAACGAAGTTTAGACAGAATAAACAAGACTTTTCAAGAGCTCTTTCTAGATCTTTTCTATTTGTTTGAAATCAAGGCAATATGTGAAAAATTCAAGCGGATAACTCTTATTAGGACGCCCGTTAAGCCGTTGATGAGTGTGCCATTCCAAAGAGCCCGACAAAGGTCTGTTTTCACTTACAACCGAAAGTCTGAAGACAGTGGAAAACACACGAAGAAGGTTCCATCGTTAAATAATTGCTTATAGAGAAAGCGAATCATTTTAAAATGGCCTAATGAAATTAGAGCACAGGTATCAAGCGCATTGGCGGTGGTTTTGTTAGAGAGAAGTCATTTGCTAAGAATTTATCTCTGATGACTATAACGATGGGTGTTACGCAGTGGTTACAGGTGTCTGCTACACAGACATTTACTCATTCCAGCGCTAGGAGCAAAGAAACTCTTAGGTCCATCTGAAATCGACACGCCTGTAACAGAGCTATCTGGCAGGCACCTTCATCAATCACTGACTTGATGAACGCTTTCGTAAATCATGGCATGTGTTCAATCGTCTCAACGGTGTTTAATGAGGTCGAACATATAGCTTATCCTTCAGGGATTGTTCAAAGCTGAGCGCCTCATCTTTTCATACTTTTTGCAACAACATTACTATCTTGATGAATCATCACCTCATCATGGTAGGGAAGTATTCCTGCCGATCAAACTTCGGACTACAATGGAGACTCTCATGTCGGTATCATGAGAAGGAATTTGTCACTGGCAAAACGCACGCTCGGTTAAGAGCTAACCATCAATGTAAACTCCATTGTACTCCTTCATTCAACAATTTCATGTTGGAAGGAGAGTACCATATTCTGGTCTATAACGTCTATAACTCACTGTGGTAGGGACTACGATATGTCTTAGCTTGCTCTTTTCAGGACACCATGAATCTCTGCTCGATCAATGACGATGCATTTATTTCATAACTGCACGTAGATCATTCATGTATCTACCATAGGAGTATTCGTAACATCACATTACAACACTGTTGCTACATCATACCATTACCAGCCTGCAGCTCGAGAATCTGCAGATTACTCCTTCCATTGATATGATGAAGGCCGGTCGAGTGTGATTTTCATTGTAAACATCAGACAACCGTATAAAGTTTTTCTGAGGTCTTCACCACATGCATGATGCGACCAAATGTCGACCAAAATCGAGTACGATGTAATAAACCGAATTCACATCTAAACCAGATCATCTTTATGGATAACGGTTGGTAGACAACGAAACGAATGCAAGAGGTGCTAGGACCAGCGCGATATACGAAAGCGATCATCTAAATATCTAGGTACATTGAAGCAAACTTTTTAATATTCAAAAAGAAGTGACGCGAAGCATTTTGAGTGAATTTAATAGTAATAAAATCTAATGCAGCAATAATAACCCATTTCCCAACAGCCCAAAAACGCCACAGAATTATTTACTTCGAGTATGTCGCTTAGGGTTGAAATGCCGTTCAGAAAACTATTAGTGGATCTTCAAGCAGTTCACGAATGCTAGACATCTACAAAGTCCTTGCAAATACCTACCGTATTCCTTGTCTCTCAATTTCGCTCATTATCACCACGTAGACATTCTCCGGGCCCTGTAAAGACTTGACAGTTCCATCACCTGCAAAGGAAATGTTTGGAACAGAAAGTCAAACATCATACTGGTATTGAATAGCTGACTACTATAGACATTAGGCAGATATAGCGCCTACCTACAAAAAGCCTTAATTCGTATGATGTATGTGATAAGCCAAGATCAGCAGCCGTTTCGACTACCAATTCACCGCTTTTCTTGCCGTTATCGACGCGGCGACGAATAACCTGGGAATCGTGTTCAGGTCATTCGACAAAAAATTTTATAAAATGAACAACGAAAAGAAGCATGACATCGGATTGCAGGAATATAAGCAGAAACAAAGATGGCTATGCCTTGATTCTTGTAGAAAGTTGTCCATATCTTTAGATCAGCACGGAACGCGAAGCTAATAGAAAGTCGAAGGTGTTCTACACTCAACAAGATGCGTATCTATTCCAATGCATACGGTGTGAAAGTAGCGAAAGTGCTCAAATTCTAACTTTTAGATTTCAGGTCACCCTGAATATTGTCATTGTAAACACCGATGAATAGGATCTACAGATCCTCACCAATTAGGTGCAAGTCTATTCAAATACCAAGATGCAATTCTCATTCTCCTAAGCTTATAGAACAAGTCTTTTAAATGCTCTTCTTACGTCAAGAGTGGCATTTCAAATATGAAAGCAAAAGAACAATCCGGATTTCGTCCAGAGGGGTACAATATTGTTTTCCAGTGTATCGTTGGGCGTCTCTCAGACTGCTGTGCTTAAGCGAAAAATTTCAGTTTTTTTAAAAGTTCCATTCTGAATAGGCTTAAAATTGAGAAAATGTGATATAAAAATTCTATATTCTCCTGCGGTGATAAATTAGAGCTTCTATAAGCCCATGAAGTTCTCAGCTCCTCCATTAAAGAACTTATCGCATGTTGTGGAAAAACCTGTTTCGTCGTGAATGAGCTAGCATGGGCAACTATTTTGAATGGGTATCCATCATCGTTCTTAAAGATGAAACACAGCCTTTGAATAAAGAAAAAGAATCGGTTCTGGAAAAATTCCAAAACACTGTGAATAACTAATCCTTTAAAAAAACACCTTAGAGGGTACACTGTACCTGCTTCCTGCCTCGAACGTTGATGTCCATCGTTATTGTAGTGGAGAGAGGTCGTAAACATTGTTGCACACAATAGGAGAACATCTCAAACCATTCTTCCTTCTCAGTACGGCTTCTGTTTAAAAATACAAGTAAAAGATTAACTGTGAAAATATAATGCACAGCTTTTTATTTACTACTCATTTTCTTACAGCAAGGTATTATGTGAAATACAGCCACAATGCTGAGATATTTGCAAAACTTGGAGCCCAGCCCAGATTCGAACCGACGATTGACATTTCCAGGAGCTTATGATGTTACCAACTGTACTTTTGGGGCCCTAAGAAAGGGCAATTCTTGCGAACTTCCCCTTTTTAGCTGGAGCAAGGTTGGTATCGGTTGTCGTTGTTGCTGCGGTTCGATGTCCAACGTTTCGGTGATTTCGCCTTCCTCAGAGCCGTTTCGTTAAGTGAGGGACCACCCGTGTACTATTCACATGGGACAACCAATGAACGCGTCAATTCATATTCGTGGTGCTTGGAATCCACGTAGTCTTTCGAATCCAATGCATTGTAATGGTTTCGCCATTTCACGTGAACAACACACGAGTGATCCCTCACCTAACAAACAAAACGGCTTTGAAGAAGGCCAAATCGTCCAAACGTCAGCCATCGAACCGCGGCATCAGCAACAACTGATACTAATCTGGTGCCCAAAGGCAATGGTGCCTCTTGCTGCAACACTTTTGTTAGGGTATGCGGCACCTTTGGCTGCCTCGACAGTTATAAGTTGTCCAGAGACCGTGAGATTCGAATAGTTATATTCGAAAAGATTTCTCTGTTCCCATGGACGTGTCTGACCATTCCACCACTGCATTCCAATTCACAGCAAAGCAAAAGGCTTTCGACGTTGATCAATTCCCTAGGGAGGAGCGTATGACTCTGGATATTTGGACTACAGAATGTTCTTATGGGGCCTATAAATGAGCAGAGTCAGTGTTTCGCAATTCTCCCGGACATGAGATGCCAGTTTGTTCACTAAAGTTAAACAAGTAGTTGAAGTTGAAGGCGAAATAATGCGGTTCGGTTCACATAATGGAGCAAGCATTGTATGACTAACCTGAAATGCACGAGGTAGTTGCAAAATGGCCATCCAATAATGAACGAGTCAGCCGAATTCGACGATGCCACCCAGACACGACTCAATCGTAGCTTCTCCTTGAGTTTGAAACAACACACACCTCTGGAAACTTTAAAATTAGACAAGAAAGAGGAATCGCAGCTAAAGGTCCGATTCTATAAGCTAAATAAACTAGGGTAAATGAGATTTACACATTCTTAACTGCTACCAGATGTAATCATCAATACTGGCCGAATGTTGGAACGATTGATTGTGGTTATAAGGTTTGCGAACTCACAGAGCCCTCTACGTTTTCCGTTAGCATTCGTTTCGTGGGTAAAGGCACCTTGCCTATCAGAAACTACTCAAGTAATTCTTCGTATTTTTGTTGAGCAAACGCGAGGTGTTATTATTCTTTATTCACAAATGAGCTGACGTTTCGGCG